TTGACAGGCTCTACCGATTATTCCGTGGGCAGAGCAACACGCCATGGCAGCAGTTCGCCAACCCGGTTCACCGGCCAGTCGGCGATCACGTTCAGCACATGCCGCAGGTAATGCTCCGGGTCTACACCGTTCAACCGGCAGGTGCCGAGCAAGCTGTACAACAAGGCTCCCCGTTCACCTCCATGGTCAGAGCCAAAAAACAGGAAGTTCTTTCGCCCCAAGCTCACCAGCCGTAGCGCATTCTCCGCTATGTTGTTGTCCACCTCTACCCAGCCGTTTTCGGCGTAGTACGTCAGTGCTGACCACTGATTCAAGGCATAGGCGAAGGCCTTGCCCAACTCTGAGTGACGCGAGAGGGAGGACATCCTTTCCCGTAACCAGATTTCCAGCGCTTCCAGTAAGGGCTTTGCCCGCCGTTCTCGTTCTGCCAGCCGGTGTTCTGCTGACATGCCACGCAGTTCTGCTTCAAGGCTGTAAAGCTGACCAATTCGTTTGAGGGCTTCGTGTGTGTTGTCCGATGGCGTTCGGATATGCACATCATGGATCTTTCGCCTGGCATGAGCCCAGCAAGCAGCTTCCTTTATCGTCCCCGAGGGGCGGTCTTCCCGATATAGCTCATTAAATCCTGCGTAAGCATCTGCCTGTAGGACGCCGCTAAAATCGGTAAGATGGCTTTGCGGATGGACTCCCTTTCTATCAGGAGAGTAGGCGAACCAGACGGCTGGCGGCAGTTCGGAGCCAGCGTTGCGATCATCACGTACATACGTCCACAGACGCCCTGTTTTTGTCTTTTTATTGCCGGGGAGCAGTACCGGGACTGGGGTGTCATCTGCGTGTAGTTTGCCATCGGTCAGCACATACTGCCGCAGCGCCTCCTCCAGCGGTGACAGCAATCTGCAACATGCATCCACCCAGCCAGAGAGCACCGAACGACTCAGCTCCACACCCTGACGGGCATAGATTTCCGACTGGCGATACAGTGGAGTGTGCTCTGCATATTTGGAGGTGAGTACCCGAGCCAGTAAGCCAGGTCCGGCGCTCCCCCGCTCGATAGGGCGTGATGGCGCTGGCGCTTGTGTGATGAAATCACACTGCCCGCAGGTGTGTTTCTCCCGAACTGTGCGGATGACCCGGAAGGCACTGCGTATCAGCTCTAACTGCTCCGCAGTATCTTCTCCAAGGTATGACAGCGTTCCACCACATTCCGGGCAGACTGCTTCTGTTGGACACAGGCGGTGCTCATCACGAGGAAGGGCCTGAGGGAAGGGTTTGCGAGTGCGGGTCTGGCGAAGTGGCCGCGGTACCGCTGGGTCATCCACCCGGCCGGTGATAGCGTCACTCTCTTGCTGGAGTATTTGCAGTTGTGCTTCAGTCTGGGCAATACGACGAGCGAGTTTCTCGGACTGGCTGCCAAAATACATACGCCGCAGCTTGTCGAGCTGCGCAAGCAGGCGCTCTATTTCGCGCTCCCGCTCCTCCAACTTGGCATGCAAAACACGATTGAGTGACTCCTTTTCGGCCAGTAGTCGTTTCAGTCGCAGGATTTCGTCGGCTAGTGATTTTTCCATACCTATGCATCTTACATG